AGAAAGGGAAAGAAGGAAAAGATGGAAACAGCCTTTGCAACTAGGAGTGCGAGAGGGGTTGGAGGGAGGGCAGGGGATAGAAAAACAATCAGGATAGACGGGTCGCTGTGTACATAGGTAGATGCCCTGTGACCAGTCGATCATCGTGGATGTCTAAGCTGTACCAGTAGAGCACTTCTGTAAACAGCCAGGCGGGGTGGCACAGGCCTGCAGTCCCGGCCCTCAGGAGGCGAAGGCAGGAGGATCGTCGTCAGGCCCAGCCCAGCCTGGACTACAGGCCCAGCCCCGTTGCAACGAAAGAGTAGAAGTGGGCCGGGGATAGCTCAGCAGGATAAGCGCTTACCTGGCAGCACAAGGGCCTGAGTTCAATCCCCGGCTCCGCCAAAAAGAAGAGAAAAAAGGTAGATGTTAGTGTTACATAGTGAGAATGGAGGAGACAGGAAAGGCACGCACCTTTCTGAACCTTCTGAACGTGTTAAATTGGACCATTTGTTACACATTTACACGAGAGTGTCAAATAGGCCGTTGTGTGTGGAGGTTTTGGAGCTCAGGCACACGCGGAGGGTTCACCTGGGAACCTGAGGTGTACAAAGCCAGATATGGTGGCACATGACTATAATCCCTTACGCAAAGGCTGAGGCAGGAGAATCTCAAGTTCTAGCCCAATGTGGACAATTTAGAGATTTAGTGAAATCTTGTATCAAAAAAAATAAAATAAAAAAATAAAGTGTTGGGTATGTACTCAGTGTGAAGGCCCTGGATTCTGTGTCCCCTGTGCCCCCGAGATGAGATTTGGGAAGGAGGCTCAGTCTGAGCTTTGGTGCCCAAGCGTGCGTGCGTAAGGAGTCTACAAGGGAGGCCTGGGGATTACCTAACGAGGCAGGAAGGAAACACTAGGAAATACCGGAAGGCAAGCAAGGAGAGTTTTGAGATGGAGTGGCTGAGCGTGGTCAGAATCAGACGGGAGGCCCTGCTGAAAGGATGCGGATACCAACCTGCCGGCCTGCCTGGCCCGCGTGCGTGGGCTCTGGTTACTTCTTCCTCGATGGTGACCCTCAGCCTAACTTCAGCTTGCCATTATTCGGATCTGCCCTAAGATGTGAGGCATATGGGGCTGGAGAGATGGCTCAGTGGTCTAAAGCACCTACTTAGAACAAGCTTGGCAAAGCACAGGGACCGCGGTTCGATCCCCAGCACCACATGCCAGCCAGCTCCGCCCCCTGGTGGGCTGAGCTGGCCACACACACACACACCACACACACACTCTCTCTCTCTCTCTCTCAAATAAAAAAAAAATTAAAAAAAAAAAAAAGATGTGAGGCATCTCCCAATCTGATCCAATCGCATCTCCTGTTCCTTATGCTGACTCACCCAGTATGACATTTATTGAATGCCTGCTGCATGCCGGGCCCCCAGGGATAGGTTAGTGAGGGAAGAGCCCAGGCCAGGTGCACAGGTGCCCTAAGGAATTCACCGTATATCACAGAGAAGCAAATAATTACCCCAGTTAAGACACAGCCATCAGCTCAGTGTCCTGCGGGGGGCCTATCGCAGCCTCCTTTCTTTAGGTGCTGCAGGGCGCGGGCTGCATGCACACCTCACACACCTTCACTGTGCCCCAGGGCCACTCTTGATAGACTTGGGTGGGCCAGGGAGAGAGCTCAGTAGTCAGCACTTGCCTGAAAAGCGCAAGGTCCTGAGTTCAATCCCCGGTACTGCAAAAAAGAAAAACTTGCTTGATAGACTTGGGGATGGGGTCAACACTTAATCTGCAACAAACTTACCTGGTGATCTCAGGCCGATTCTTTGGTTCCTTTGAGCCTGTTTCCTTTTTATTATATATTAGACTTTTTTTTTTTTTTTTTTTTTTTGGTGGAACCGGGGATTGAACTCAGGCCCTTGCCTTGCCAGGGAAGCACTTATTCCACTGAGCCATCTCCCCGGCCCCTACATATTAGATTTAAAAGGACCCCCAAACCATGACAGCCCTGCCCCAAGACGAGCTGAGCCAGCCACTGAGACCAGGCTGTAATTCCAGTGCTGGGGAGGCTGAAAACAGGATGAGTCAGAAGCATAGTGAGACCCTGTACCAAATACATTGAAAAATAAAAATAAAAACAAAATGACTCTCAAGCCTGATGTGGTGGTGCACGCCTGTAATCCTAGTACTCGGGAGGCTGAGACAAGAGCTCCATGAGTTCAGGGCCAGCCTGGGCTACATAGTGAGTTTAAACCCAGTCCAAACTGTACATAGTGAGACCCTGACTCAAAAAGAACGACCAAAGTAAAACACAATTGTTAGGTCCTCACAATTGGACCCCACTCAACCTGAAGAGAAAAACTACAGATCACCCCTCTGTTCAACCAGGAAGCCCCCCCCCCACCAGCCCCAGAGACTAAAACAAATCTGTGTATCAGGGTGGTTTCCCAGGCCTGGTGCTCAGGCTTGGGGGAAACCGCGTAAATGGATAGAATGTGAATCCGAAGAGCACTCCCCTCAGAGAGGCCCAGGCCCCCAGTGAGCCCGTCTGCCTCAGTGGGCCTTGCCCATCCCTTGTTAAACTGGCCTATAAAATATGTTCTTCAGCTTTGCGGTCAATGGCCTTCTCGCCCTTGACCAGGCTGCACCCAGCCTGGAGTAAAGATGTCGCTGTGTGCTTCACTCCTGCCTGTATCAGGGGTCTCCCTTGACCCTTGCTGTCCAGCCCGACAACAATATCCCCCAAGACTCCTGTTTGGGAAGTGACTGGGCAACGGGGCACCATATTCATCCTGTGAGTTTGCCTCAGTTCAACTGACTTGCTGCTGTGAGGTGGGGCTGGTCTGCAGCGCTGGGTTCTGACCCGGAAGGGTGTATTCTTCTCCCTTCTCTCCCGATTCCAGTTGCCAGCTCACCCCTTTCCGCCACACCTTTTCAAAGCCTTGGAGCCAGCTGGCCCTGGACTGAAATGTGACCCAAAATAAACTTCTCTTCCTTTAAATTGTGATCATCTGGGTATTCTGTCCCAGAGATAATAAAGTGATTAAAACACCTCTGTGGGAGCTGGTGAGATGGCTCAGCGGTCTAAAGCACCTACTTAAAAAAAAACAAACTTAGCAAAGCCCAGGGACCGCGGTTCAATCCCCCAGCACCACATGCCAGCCAGCCCGCCCCCTGGTGGGCTGAGCTGGCCACACACACACACAAATAAATAAATAAATAAATAAAACACCTCTGTGAAAGGGAAGGCTAAGGGACAGAGTAGGTAACAGTTGTTTTGTTTTATTCAACTTATTATATATGTCACCAAAAGATCACCATGAGGTCACAAAAAGTAGGCTTGCTTTAGTTCACAATAGAAGTCTATAAAACATGTGTTTAATCTCTACAGTTGGGACTGGGGAGACAGCTCAGCAGGCATAAATGCCTGCCTGGCAAGCACAAGGTCATGAGTTCAATCCCCCGTACCACACACAAAAAAAGGGATTTTGAAAAACATTTTATTTATTTATTTATTTTTGCAGACCTGGGGATTGAACTCAGGCCCTTGCACTTGTCAGGCAAGAGATTTACTCTACTGAGCCATCTCCCTGGCCCTAAAAAAGGAAATTTAATCTCTACAATTTACAATACTTGTTTAAAGTTAAAGTAGTTGAAAAAAAAAATAAATAAATAAAGTTAAAGTAGTTGGGCCCAGGAGGTGGCTCCGTGGAATAAGCGCTTCCCTGGCAAGCGCAAGGGCCTGAGTTCAATCCCCGGTTCTGCCAAAAAAAAAAAAAGTTAAAAGTAGTTAAATACTTGAAACTATCATTTAGTTTAGTAAATAATAAAATTTGTAAAAATTTGTTTTTTTTTAAATTTGTAAAAAAATGTAAATAATTCACACTTTAGAAATTTGTAAAATGTCACACACTGTTTTGCAATGCTGGGGAGTAAACTGTGGGCCTTTGCACTGAGCTACATCTCCCTTTTTTAGTTTTATTTTGAGACAATTCTTGCTGAGTTGCTCAGGCTGGTCTCAAACTTGTGCTCCTGTCTTAGTCTCCTGACTAGCTGGGATTACAGGCCTGCATCATTGTACCGAGCTGTAAATTAGAAATTCTTGGTTACTTTGTGTGAATGCTGAAAGACAGCTTGTTTGGCATAGCCTTTAGGACAGATAGCAGCTCCCTGTCCTTCTTCTCCCAGGTCCTAGCAGGAAGATTTTTGTGAGGGCCTGTGGCTAGATGGGTTCTGAACCATACGGAACCTGAGACTGGTTCTCCTGCTAAGACACTCAAATGACAGGCAATTTCTTGAAGATCTTTTTTTTTTCTTTTGCGACCGAGTCTTACTATACAGTTCAGGCTGGTCTTGAACTCACTTTGTTGCCCAGAATGGTCTCAAACTCTCCACAGTAATCCTCCTGCCTCAGCCTCTCAAGTGCTGGGATTATAGGTGTGTGCCACCATGACCAGCTCTCTTGATATCTAAAAGGCTGCCAATACATGAGGTAGGGGCTGTACAGCATTGATGGGGTGAAGGAACAAACAGCAGAGACAGCAGCCAGTGCATAGCCGTTGTGTTTTATTGTGTGTTTATTTTACAAAATATACAGAGGAGCCAAAAATGCTAAGCAGTCAACAGTGTTTGATTCAGCAGGGGCTCTGTGGGGACCCTTCCCCTCTGGGCTGCATGAACAAGCAGGTATGTTAGGGAGCAGCGTGACAGGGGTGCTGATGAAGCGGGAACTGGGTCTTAGGGTCCTGCTCTCCCGGCCTGCCAGGCAGCATCTCTGGGTGCCTGAAGAACTTCCTAGTAGGGAACTGAGGAAGCAGCGTGTGGGGTGAAGGTAGCCTTGGCTGATCAGAGACTGCCCGCATGTACCGACCGACGCTGTGCCTGACCCCCTCCTCCCACTCCTAAGGCATCCCCTGGGAGGGCTGGCAGGACTCGTGTTCAGGACCACCCCCCAGTCTCTGTGCCTCCAGGTCTAGAGGTCATGGCGAAGGACAGCTTGAGTCTTGACCATCAAAGCAGGGAGCAGGGCTCCTCCCACCCACCACCAGCCCCTGCCACAGCCCCCTCCACACAAAGGAGGGCAGGGAAGAAATTAGAGATGAGCCAGAAGCTGGATCCCAGGTTCTCCTGGGATACTGAGAAGGGCACGCAAAATTTGTGGACGCTTTTAAGGAGATGAGGCCTTCTGAAATGTTTAGAGAAACATTCTGATGGCCCCGGGGGGCAGACTGCGGAACTTTGGAGCTCCACTCAGCTTGCCTGAGCTTTCACCATCTGCCCAGGCCCATGTTCTCGAGCCCAGCCAACTTTAGGACTTAACCACCGGCTCAGACATTCTTGTCCCCCTACACAGGCTGGTCTGAAAAGATCAGCCAGTGCTGAGGACAGACAGTCACTCTCTGAAAAGCAGCCTTAGGGAAAATACTTAGGGGACCAGGGATGGGGGAAGCACCATAGCAGGAGACACTCCATCTGGCCTTGTGGTTTTCTAGAGTGGGGGTGGGAGGTGAGCAGCCACTGGGTTCCCACAGCAGGGGCTCCCTCCACACTGGGAGACAAGTAGTAAGGGGGAGAGGGCTGCTGGGACTTGGGCACACCCACCAGATGCACTTTGCCCACTCTCTGGCCCCTTCAGCTCCAGGGATCTGGATACTGAAGCCCAGGCTCTTGGATCCCTACAGCCCCGCAGGTAAGGCTTGGATGAGGACAGATCTAGGAAGAGAAGGGTGAGGTCTGCCTGGGTTAGGGACAGAGCACAGTCCCCTAAAACACATGGACCACCCCCGCCCTCTTCCTGGGGGGCTAGATGACGTTGTCAAAGAGCTGCATGGATCGCATGATGTTCTCGTCCTGCGGTCATCATTTAAGACAGCAAATCGGAGAAAAAGGGAGAAAAACAAAAAGCTTATAAGAGGCAGGAAGAATAATGAACCTGAGATTCAGACACTGAGGGGCAGGAAGGAGATGCCCAGAGAGTCCATGTTACCCTAGTCATGACAGGGTCTGGGTGGAAGTGAGTTAGGGAAGAGGTTCTCTGCCCAAGGGGGCTTTTCCTGAGATCCAGGCCTGGGCGCCAGACCAAGGAAATGTGGAGGGCAAGGCCTGTACCTTTTGGCAAGACTCAATGAATTCCTCAATGGTCACCACACCATCCTTGTTTCTGTCCATCTTCTGCAAGGGATGGCGGGAGAGAGGCAGGTAGAACTCAGGTGAGTCCTGTGTTGACTCCTGGCCTCCTTCCCTGTCCTCCAGTACCCTCCAGCCTACCCCATGCTAGGCACCTGGAAGAAGTTCTCCACATGTTCCCTCGGGGCCTCCTCCCGGAGTGCAGGGTAGGTATATTTGCCCATCATGTCATAGATGGACTTTATGATGTCAAGCATTTCCTGTTAGGCCGAGAGAAAAGATCCTCAGAGCAAAGCTGGTGGCCCGGGGCAGACCCTGGCCCTCTGCATCTCCCCACCCCCAGCTCCCCAGCTCGTCAGCTGCCCTGCACCTCCTTGGTGATGCAGCCATCCTTGTTGAGGTCATACAGGTTGAAGGCCCAGTTCAGCCTGTCATCTATTGATCCCCGAAGAATCACTGACAAACCAGCCACAAAGTCCTGGGAAGGAAACAGCCGGGACCTGTGTCTTCACAAACCCATTACTCAACCCTTTCTTTGGGTGTGAGCTGGACCACCATGGAATAGGATCCCCAGCCCAGCTCACCTCAAAACTCACTGAGCCATCGTGGTTGGTGTCAAAGGCATTGAAGAGAAAGGTGGCATAGGTGCTGGAATCTGCAGGAAGTGTGGGGAGAAGAACTGGTCTTCAGACCAGCACGGGGACCCTCAGCAACCCTACACTACCGACCGCTCCACTCAGCCCACAAGGGACAGCGGCTTACCTCCTTGAGGGAAGAACTGAGAGTAAATCTGCTTGAAATTCTCCTCATTTACGATGCCACTAGGGCATTCCTGGGAGGGCAGGACAGACTGAGAGCCATAGCAAAGTCACAGGGCCCAGAGAAAGGGGAA